GTTGCAGGGGTTGGTTTATTAGAAGACGTTGCTGTGTTTAACTGCAGGTGTGAAATAATGTTAAATTGTTATGAAACTACAAATATGGTTCCTACTGGCTTTAAAAACCAACCATGAACTAACGTTGGCCTTTCAAAACTTAGTGAGTGACGCCACAGTGGTCACATCCATCTTTTATATACTGTTGACAACAAACCACTCAGACTGGTTTCAGATTTTTCTGTGCAGCAAAGCAAGGGTGAAAGAAAAAAGTACTCCAGCAGCAGCAGATTCTCACCAATCACAGGAAATGTAGTAAAAACTAAAGTGTGATGGGTATTAGCCCAAAAAGCAGCACAGATAAGAGGCTGTCGCCCAGAGCAAACAGGAAACTGATGTTGGGAAGTTCTGAGTGATCGTCATGTCACCAGAGAACGTATAAACATGCAGCTGTGACACCAGGTCGTTGAACCACCTCCTCCTCCTTGTTTTAGCTCGGTGTGGATTACGGCAGCGGCTCTTCAGACACAACAAACACGATCTCATCCTGTTCAGGATCGAATTAAAAAACAGGGGAAACGGCAAAGACTATCAGGAACAAGCTCCTCAGAGACCTGAAGTAAAGAGCAGAGGGGGGGGGCAAACCATGCTGGACACTACATTTCCCACAATGCAACTGAACAGCAGCAAACTAAAAATTTGAAGTGAAGCTTCTCTTTCAACCGGCAATGTTTACAGATGGGCAGTTTCCTGCGCTCAGCTCTGCTGGTTTAATTCTGCTCGTATTCCTGCAGATTCTGCTCTCAGGCTCTAACGCTTAGTTCCAGGTTACAGCCTGAAACTATGGAAACCACAGCTGGCTACGGATTGTGTGTGCTGCCCAACCTGTTGCCCAGTGGCTGCTGAAGGTGGCTGGCTGCTGCTAGGTGGTCGCTAAGAAGGCGATGCACCAAAAACCGCCTTGTTTTTGCTTGTTTTTGTTTTTACTTTAAAATTCGAACTAACTGCTGGAATCTCTCGTGGACATTAGATGAACTGCAGGTTTTGGTGCTTGATTTTTCCTTCTTTGTCCAGCGAAGTGCATCATGGGAAATGTAGTCTTTCCCACTGACTGAGAAACAGAGCCTCAAACTCTGAACATTATCTATAGCTGACCTTTGACCTTTCCCTCCGCTCCTGCTCCTGTTTCTCCAGCTCAGCTATCCGCTGGCTCAGTTCCTCCCAGTGCATGATGGGAAGGTCCTGGTCCAGAGAGGATGCCTCCATGGGGTGATCCTGATGAAGCTCCTTCTCCTCCCCCTCCTCTTCCTCCTCCTTCTCCTCAGACGTCTCTTTCTCTCCCTCCATCCTCCTTGAATGAACCAAAGCAAGATCAACAAAAAGTAAACAATAACATGTGTAAACACAGAAAGCAACAAACAGCGTTGTTTTCATTTAAAAACTCTGAAGACCAAGGTGGAAACTCAAACCTACAGAATGTCTGAGACGATTTATCCACAACACTCATTAACATGTTGCAGTTTTTTCTACTCCTGGATCTGTAAGAAGTCACACAGAGAAATACCTTATATGGTTATCTCAGGTAGCAAAGCCCCACCCATTTGCATTCTGTTTATGAGTGGCAGCCAATAATATGGAAGTGGCTTAAAGAGGGAGGGGCTAAAATGCTGTGCCACCGGTGCATATTTTTGTATCTATTTGATATTAAGCAAATATTGGGCCAGTATTGCCGATACCAATACTAATAATGTGGCAACCTCTCAGTGTGTCATAACATATTTGATAATTCTGGACATAGTTTAATGATCACTAAATCACAGCGAATTTAACTTTCCACAACAAAAGTATTAGTTTGAAGTAGTAGTAGTTTGAAACTGGGATTTTTTAGAGCTGGAATTTGAATGGTCCTGTCAGTGAAGCCCTTTGGCTCAGCTTCTGCTGTTTAAAGGTTTCACAGGCTGTTAATACAATATACAGTCAAAACACAAAGATATTTATCGATACAGTATTAACATCAATGCTATTCTGTACGTTTGATGAACTGAAGGTCCAGTTTAAGATAAAGAGGGCTTATTTTGAACTTTAACTCATGTTAAGCTACTGTAGAAACCCAGGATAAACATCTGGAGCTGGGACTGAGCAGTGGTGTGAGCTAAAGTTATTAATATCATTAATAACCCAGCAATAATCATGTAAAGCTGCACACATGCCAAATACAATCAATAGAGATCAATAATTAAGGAATAGTTTCAACAATCTGGTAACGTTTAAATATGTCTACGGAAGATTTATTGGTTGTAAATGATCTGCCCATGTGGTTGCGGATAGAGGTGAATGATCAGAGTTGTGACTGCTGCTCTCTGAGCCCTCCCGGCGGCTGTGGCTCCGCAGTGTCCCGCTGCTGTCGCGCTGCTCTGGCCGCATGTTGTTTAGGAGCAGCGGGGACACCCCACCTACCAGTCACATCCAGGCGGCTCCGGTTCTCCCCGGCATGTCGCCGTCCGTGTGCGGCCCCCCGGGTGCTCCGTGTGCGCCTCCCGCGAAGCTTCACAGTTTTTTCGGGAACCTCGAGTAAAGCAGCTCAAAGTTTCCTGAAACTATTTTAACTCCGTCTGAGGAAGGAGCACCTCCTCCACCTCCCCTTCCGCTCTCCCAGATTTAACCTCTCGTCTGATCGTTAAAGTGACCGACGGCACGAGCGCTAACGGTAACGGGACGGTACTTGGAGTACTCCGGTGTGCGGGTGCGTGCGTGGGGACTGTTAGGTGCAGTCAGGAGCGCGGTGTGGTTGCTTTAGTTGCAGGAGTTGCCCCATCTTGTTGCTGCTGCGATTAGCTTGGCTGCAGAAGTTGCTGTGTTTAATTGTACACTGTTGTGTCAATGGTTGCCTTGTGTGCTTAAGGTTGCAGCTACTGTTACTATGGCTACTTAGTTGCACCAATTACATAAGCTTGTTTTGCTTTAGTTGCTTTTATTTTTGGAATATTTGCCATCTTAGTTGCAAATTGTACTAGTTGGTGGTGTTGCTGTGAGTTGCATATGCAGGCATTCTCACTGTGGTTGCTGAGGCTGGTTACAGGTGTTGCTGTAGTCGTGTATGTTGTGCTTAGATATTTGGTTTTGGGGCAGAAGTTGCTGCATGCAGAGGTTGGCCAACTGAGGATGTTGCCGTGGTTGCCTCGATGTGAACCTGAAGGTTTGGGATGTTGAAATGATCTTTGTTGCTGGATGTGGATCAGAGTTGAACGGAGATTCGCTGAAACACACTCTGGGTGCTTTTCAGTAAAATATTGGAATCTTTTAATAACTTCATGTCTGTGTTGGACTCGGTCCAGGTGCGACTCTGGTCCAGGTTCAGGTCCAGCTGATTCTCTCCTCGTGGGAAACATCTGCACAGCGGCAGTGAAGGGGTTACGGTTGCCGGTGTCCAGTTTCACCATATTTTGGAGATGACGACTCAGCGCAGATGAAGAATTCACAACAACAGAGGAAACACCACAACATTCCTGCCATCGAAGCTCCGTCCTGACGCTCCGTGTTACTGAGCTCAGTCATGAGAACTTCCTGTCTGAGCTGATGAGCATTTAAACATAAAATACTAAACACTCAGTTTTTATGACTTTAACTGAGTTTAACTGCTTGAAGACGCCACCCTGGATGTATGACTGTTTCCTGAAAGTTTAAAGACCAGATTACAGATGGTATAAAATGAATAAATGAATGTCCCTCATTTCTTTTCCATCCATCTGTTAAAGTAAACTCAGGAAAAACAGAACTAATGATAATTAATAAAAAGACAAACGTGCTTTGTTTAAACAGTTACACCATTTTTTAAATTCATTTTTAATTTTTTTAAGAAACAAATTTTTAAATTTATTAAGCAAATAAACGTAGCTTACTTTAGCTTCACATTCAAAGTGTGGTTGTCTGGCTGCACCACGGCAGACAAAAAGGCACTTCAGAGGGTCATTAACATCAATCATTGGACATCCTGAAGGACCTGTGCAGCTGTCTCAGTGTACTCAGAGACCAGGTTACATCAAAAAACTCTATTTTCTGCAATATTCGCTTGATTGTTACACCCCAGTCTACCGTCGTGTTTTTTTTTCATTGACCACTGACAAAAAAGCCTCATTTCTGCTGTTCAATAACAAAGAAATGTAAACTTTTACAAATGATTGCTTAGCTGTGTCTCTAATCAAACCTCTGTAACTTTGCTCTGCTTCATCTTCAGCAGCATCAGGTAATGTTCAGATGTTGATTCATGGTTTTCTTCTGTTTTTCATCTTTCTGTGTTACCTCAGTTACTTTGACACAAAGACATCTGCTGTGATGCTCACACCTCCGAAGTCTCCCAAGTGCCAGCTTTGTGTTTATACATGGATATAAAAATATAGACTGTACGGATAAATGACCAGAATTATAATATTTCTCACTGAATCTGAATTGAATCAGTTATAGAAATCGATAGCCAGCCCTAGCAATAGCCCTAATCAGTGCTAACAGCTGGCATGACTGCCTCCCTGGACTTTTGGGGGGCAATAATGTGCAACAAACATCCATTCTAGAATTTATTATGTCATACTTTTTTGCACTTTTATCCACTTTAAATTTTACTGCGTTGTGTTTATTTCTGGCGTGGGACAATTTTCCAATGTCATTGTACTATTGTACTAAATATGACTGAAACGACAATAAAGAGTTATCTTAAAATTGTTTTATTTTAAAATCAGAACCAGACAGTAAAGGAAAACTAAATCACTGATCAAAACCAATACCAATGCTTCATTTTACCACTATAAAATTTAAAGTCATCACTGTTAACATTACAGTCATAAATCTTTTAAGAGATAATTTCACACAGAACTCAACTTCAATTTCAAAACCCAGTGTGACAAACACTGATATAAACTACAGCTACATGCTATGATGTCACGCGTTGTTCTGTAGATTAGAATAATTAAAAATGATAATAATGATAAATCGGTGTGAGCTGGATTAACCATTGGACAATAAGAAAATGACCAATTCTTCACTAAATTAAAGGCATTTAGATTTTTTAGTGTATTAAATATCGGTGGATCTTATGTTAAAGTGTGGAAACGCTTGTCATGTATGATAATCTCTGAGTTTTGGAGGAAGAAACAGGACAGAACTTTTTATGTATTTGCATGGCAGGCTGCAGTTCCCCCTGTGGCCGGCCGGCGGCGCTGTTTCCACAGTTGGCGAACTGCCTGTATTTGGTTGAAGGACTATGTTGTAAAAATCTTTCAAACTGTTAATTTTCGGAGTTTTCGCGACTCCTCCGCAGGAGTGCTCGGTGGGTTCGGGGCCGGCGTGACCGCCTCTTCCCGGGGACAGGCGGACCGTCCCGCCTAGGACAGTGTGGCGCGGGTGCTTAGCGGTTTTCTGATCTCTGGAGGTTTTTGCTGTTAGCTCCGCAGCTAATCCTAAAAGTCGCATCAGCTGTGCGGATTAAAAGTTTCCCCACAAAGCTGGGCCCAGGAGGAGGCTCTGCTGGGCACATTTAGGGAACTTCATCGCGGCTGTTTCTGCGTATTTTTCGCGGTTTTACGCAGTCGTAAAAAATAACGTTAGCGGCGCAGCAAGTGAAGCCAGCTGTGGGTCATAAATGTCGCCGTGGCCCGCAGTCACACGCGGATAATAAGGTTTTCGTAAGGAGATGCGGTAAAGAGAGGCGAGCTTCGCTGTTCAGCCCGCTGACTCGGCGGCTCTGGGTTTGCTGCTAGCGAGGCCTGCGGGTCGGGCTTCCACCGGGCTCGAGTAGAGCCCGTAGCCGCCGTCAAGCGGTTGAAGGCCGGCAGACGGCGCAGTCGGGCCTGTGGACCAAAGTATGGAACGGATGGAAGTGGACCAGTGCGCAGGCGCAGGAGGCGGGGCACTTCGCAGGTCGAACAGCGCCCCCATGATCACGAGTGTCAGGTTAGTGGTTCTACACCACACGTTGAACTCCGTCCAAAAGAACTTAAATTTTAATGTATTGATCACAGAAAGCTCGAAGGTATTATTTTAATAGATAAAGTAAGTCATCTTAATACAACAGTCCTGGTCTTTTATTCGGCTTAATGCCAGGTGTGATGTAATAAAATTAAATGTTTATTTTACTTGTGCTTATTTTCACTTAGATAATAATAGAACTATACAGAAAGATTGTAAACATGGCCAACTTATTACTGTTTTTATGTTTGTTAATCTCCTGCTGTGAATACTAATGTCTTAGCTTGAAAGTAGCAGCCACTATAGTCCATATAATAATTAGTTTAAACTACAGTTTATTTACACATGAAATAATTTGCAAATCTAAAAAATGTAAATATGAGAAATTAAAAAATTCTGTGGCTACTTGGATAAAAATAAAAAACACTCCTGGCATCCTTTTTGATTTTTGTACTTTGAAAATCATTAAACAGATTTTAAAAATGACACGTACCATGAGGGCAGCAAGAATCAGTTTGAACCCTGAACATACGAGAACAAAATTTTAACATAATTGTTCATAATTGTTTAAGATACTGATGCCAATAAATAGTTATTTATATATTTAAATATCCAAACCTCGGCTCTGTGAAAATTACACGAGAGGTTATTGATTATCTTATTTATCACGTTATTGCTCTCTCTCAGTGACGGGATGACGGTCTTCAGTCCCGTGTCCTCGGCTCGGTACAGACGCAGCAGCATCTCCATCAACCCCAGCTGTCCCTCGCAGGTCAGTAGTGCTGCAAAAACTTTATTTACCGGAAAATGTTCATAAGCAGTGAGATAACACAGTGTTTAAGCACACCTGATCTGAAGCGTCAGGTGTTTCCTTTGAGCTGTAGAGGTCGACCGAAACTTAAACCAGAAGAGACAGAGAGCTGCACAGGAACCAGATGTGACAGCTGCACCAGCTTTGAGAAAAACCCTCTGATCTGGATATTAAAGTTTTTATCGAGGGCTGAAACTGGAAGGTCTCATCAACCAATCACAGCTCCCCTAACTGCACCCCATGCCGATGTTTATGACTGCTCGTACGCTTGCAGAAGGAAACAAGGAGCCAACTGCACTCATGTTTTACTGTTCAACATACTTTTAACTCAAAATGTTCAAGTACTGAGGAGAAATTATAAGATAAGCACCACATTTGACCTTTTAATCTGCCGTTGAAACACAGAGCAGAGCTAGTCTCTAATCTGACGATCATCATAGACGCTGGGCCAAACACCACGTTCTCCTCCGACTTCTCTGTAACTTTGTTTTTGTACTTTTGTCTTCACCACAAAGATCAGCAGCAAATATCCAGTCAGGACTTCCTGCTTGGATCCTTGAAGAACTCAGCAGGACTACAAACAGTGATAAAAGTCAGACTAAACTGTGACGAGCACTTTGACTGCATCTGTTCTGAAGTTAAAGGATAAACTGTGGCGATCACTCAGAGTTGGAAAAAATCTCGAGACAGTTTTCAGATCTAATAATAAAACGTTTATTCATGTTGCACCTTTTTAACTTAAGTTCAGACAGCAGGGCCAGAAATACACCAGGATGTAACATAGAATAAAAAGGGTCAGACAATCGATTACAAAACGATCAGTGATGATAGAATCAAATCAAATGACCTTCTCTCTCGACTCAGCCTGATGGAAAAGCACAGTTCCAGCCTTCAAACAAAGATGGCAGCACAGCTTACAAACTCACAGCTCGTGACCTCTGACCTGCACAGTCTGAAGCTTGTCCTTTAAATGATGCTCTCTTCATTTCAGCTTCACGTAAACCTTTCAGTCCACTTTTTATCCGTTTTAGCCTCTTTGAGCTCCTGTTTTACACATTTTTCCTCTTTCAGCTCGTCCCTCTGTCTCCTTTCTCTCTGACCGGATACAGACTCGACCACAAGAGGCAGGTGAGGACAGACTTCCTGCAATGCTTCCCGCCAGCACGCCACTTTCTTTCTCTTTTTGCTCAGCATCGTCTACAACATGTTTAAGCTATTTTTAAATCAAAGAGCAGTGCTTCAGTGTCTGTGTTTGCTTCACCTCAGGAGGAGAACACGGAGATGACGCTCAGAGGGACTCTGCAGAGACTCGGGTAATCCAGAAACTCTACTTCTATCTTTGAGGTTTAAACAAGCAGTCGGTAACCCTCTGTCTCTCTTCCAGTCCTTCCAGTCTGGTCCCAGTTCCTCCAGGCAGCCAGTGGCACAACCACACATCAGTGGTGAGCTTCTCCACTTCAGCTTTCATGCTGCCTCACTCTTATTTTGATGGTTTACAACTGCACTTCCTGTCAGGATGCTTTATTCTTTTCTAACCTGCTGAGCCTCATGGGTATTGTAGTTTTTAGACCAATAAGAAAGAGCTTTAGTTTTGAATGTAGTTTGAATCTCCTGACTTGGAGCCCTGAAACTAAACCCGATCAAACAGTGAATGAAGTTCATTTAAACTGGAGCTTTTTTTTCTTCAGTGGTTTCCGTCACACGACAGCGGCGTCACGCCCAACTCGTCCCCGAGTCCTACCAGGAGGTTCAGGTTTGTCTAACGCCTAAGCCTGATTTATTGTGTAGTCATTGCGCCACTGTGCTGACGAATGTGTCGATTGCCCCGCAGACCTGCGGTCAGCACCACGGTGAGGTGGCCGGCGTTGACTCCGCTGAAGAGGAAAGGTAACCAACATTTTACTGTGGATCATTCTTATTCTGCAGTCTTGAAACAAAAGTGTGTAAATCTGTGAAAACTCATCCCTCAGGGGGGGTGGAGTCAGATGGACCCCCAAAGAAGCTCTTTGTTGCTGGGGTGACAGACCCCACCCACCACAGCAGCTACACAGTTAGGTGAGGATGACCTGAGAGATGCATTGTGTTCAAAACCTAAAACGTGAAACCTGATCTTCCTCCTCTCTTCTCAGCGTCTCACAGTCAGCGGCAGACTCTCCTCCTGTGGGAGGGTCCATTCCTCAGTCCCACCCCCTGTCTCTCTCGCCCCCACCCGCCTTCACTCCCTTCACCTCCCACCAGCACCCTGGACACTAAAGACCAGCTCACCTCCCGACCCGTCACAGTGGGCACAGACCGCCCGTCAGCAGCTGGAGGAACTTCAACCTTCATCACATCGTAGATCTGTTCCAGTCATCCACCAGTGTCCCTGTAAGCCCCGCCTCTGTAGATTTCCAGCTGTCCCCATTGGCTGATTGAAGATTCATCTCCACAATCATGTCACTTTGTGGCTCCACCCCACTGCCATCAAACAGTGCCGAGAGGACTCGACATCAGTGTCATCGTGACATCATGAAGTAAACTCGGGAAACTTCGTAGGACTGAAGACACGCTGGTTGTGTAATCGGGTTGAACAAGCGCAGCTTGGAGTGAAGGGGTTTGTGGGTAATCCTTACGTGAACATGGAGCAGAAATTAGGACTGAAGAAGAAAAAGGAAAAGCCAGAGGATGTCCCATTCTTTTGCTTCCTTTCTTTAAAAACGCGTTGAAGACGGATCTCGGCTCGTGGAAGGATGAAACCTGGAGGCTCCTGTCCAAACAGACCAATCAGCTGATGCTGTTCATGTTCAACTTCCTGTTTCTCTGTAGTTTATTATTGAGATAGTTCAAATGAGGTCCTGAGTTGTATTCAGGACTTAAACGCAGACCGCTGTCCGGACGGTCTTCGGAGGCACTTCAGGAACATTTGATTTCCTCTTCAATCGACGGGATCGGAATCAAACTTGGAAACTTCAGCACAACTTTTGTTTCCTGAAGTTGCTTTTGTAAAATCTCAGAAATCTTTCTGTAAGGAAGACATAGAAATGATGAGGTTTATTTAGAGGAATTCATGAGTGTTCATGATCATCTGGACTCACAGCCCTTCATCGAATCAAGGATCATTCCCGATCCCAAAACCACATGAAGGTGGGCTGAAGCTCTGCCTCTGAACAACACTTCAGCCTTCGAAGGCTTTTTGTGTTTTAATGAAAACTTCCAGTTATGGGTGAGACTGGATCCTTCTGGTTTTGTCAGATCTCAGTTGGAGGCCGTTTTTAAGCCGGTCTCCAGTAAGAGGAAAGAGGTGGTTTCTTGTTAATAGTGTATCTATATGTGAATACTTTGAGCAGCTGGTGTGCGCTGACCTTCCTTCGGCCTGCAGAAAGAAGCCGTGCTCTTCCTCCTCTGATATACATTTATGATTGAACTCGTTCAACCCACTAAATGTCTGTGAAGGTTCTCAGTCATCCAGGTCATCGTAGTCAAAGGAGCTTGCAAAGAAAAGCATCTGGACTTCTTTAAGTTGCTTTTCAAGCAACTTAAAGAAGTCCAGACGCTTTTCTTTGCAAGCTCCTTTGACTCAACCCACTAAAGTTAGTTTGCTTGAGTCTGCTCTGATTTATCAGCCACACCTGACCTACAGAGAGTTTAGAGTGTTGAGTGCTTCCTGAGGCCGTTTGACGGGGGAAGCTAGACTGTGCAGGTACAGGCCCCCATAAAGAGAGGGGCCGGTCAGTTCTTCAGCGTTAGCAGCATTTAGTTACATGAAAGCTCACTGACACCAAAGCAACAGTTACCAACATCAGTTGACTTGATGTGGTTTTGGATGTATGTGCCGTGTGGTGTTACCGTGAAGTATTATCCATGTGGTGCATGGTTCAAAGTTCACGCCGCATGTCAGTGAGCAGGTTTGTGCTGTAAGAATATTACAGCAATAAATAAAGGTGGTATGGTATTCCTGCTGGAAGCACCAGTTCACCGGTCTGGATATAATGATGTTCCTGTGATGATGTGAGCACAAATCTGAGGTCAGAGGTCGGAGGCGATGCTTTATGTGGACGAGCTGCAGTTCTGCTTCCAGCGTTTGCACAGTGCTGTACAGTTTCCTACGATCACTCATCGTGCCTGAACATGTCTTCATTTGGGAGGAGCAGCGGTCGGGTCAAAGGTCAGGCCTGAGGTTCAGTGAGACATGTTTGTAAATAGTCTCTATAAGCTCTTTGATGAAGTGTCTTTATTCCCAGTTAAAGAGAAAGACCCGCTGAGCGTTGGTCGCCATCGGCGACGCAGACACAAAAGCTTTGTAGTTTTTTTTAGAGGCAGATTATATTTTGCCGTCACCACTTTGCACAGTGTGACCATTTTATCGTCCTTTCATTCAGAGACTGATGACATAACCTCGTGGAAGGATGCTGTCCAGTTCTGCTGCTTTTTCTGTTCTTGCTTTATTGTCACGACTCTGAGTCTGTCCTGTTCCAGACGCTGTCACATGGCGGCTCGGGGTTCGTGAGCAGGCCCACACCAAAGTCTTCACCTGCTAAAATGTCTAAAACAGGGGTGGGCACCTCCAGGCCTCGAGGGCCCCTGTCCCTGCAGGTTTTAGATGTGTCCTTGAAGCAGCACAGCTGATTTAAATGACTAAATTAGCTCCTGCAGTTCTCCAGAGGCCTGGTAACGAACTGATCATGTGATTCAGGTGTGAGATCTGAAACCTGCAGGACACCGGCCCTCGGGGCCTGGAGGTGCCCACCCCTGGTCTAAAAGGAAAAAATAAACTATTATTTAACTTTTTAAAAAAGCAAAACGTGTCAAAAAAGATGTAAATCAGACATTTACTGATTCTTCTGCTGCGTTTTTCATGCAGTTTGTCTGAATCAGGACTCATTTCCAGTTTGAAGCGTCTGAAGCAGGACAGACTTTCCTCAGAGGTCACGACACGCTGCCAAATTCTAGTCGCTGTTCAGACAGACCGTAGCTTTAAGACAACTTCCTGTGTGTGTGTGTGTGTGTGTGTGTGTGTGTGTGTGTGTGTGTGAGATAAACTTTGCACAAGCGCCATCCCATGCTGTCAGTAGCTCTGGTGAGAGGAGGTGTTATGTAGCGGGACAGAAATGTGGCGGACTCTGGTTTAAACGTCTTTGGTGTTTCGTTGTCGAGACTCTTGTCCTGCAGGTGTCTGAAGTCCAATATCATGTTTTTATTTTTATATGTGATGCACGTGTCCCGTGTGATTGGAGGTTTTCGTGTTGGACATGAAGCTGTTATCCGTTACATCCTGACACGGACGGATTTTTATGCAGAGGCGAGGATGTGAGCGCTGTTCTCAGAGGTATTTGCTGAAAGTTTTTCAGTATTGAAGGAGTATTTCACTCTGGCAGAGCGCCGAGAGTCAAACGTCAGAAATGACCCTGGGGGGGCCCCGTAGTTCCCCCGCCTCCATCACACTGTAGAGCTTCAGTTTGACAGCAGCTCAGGCTTCACCTTCATCTGAGTCTCCATCAGTGGATGGAGTCCTCGGAGTTCCAGCAAACAAAACATCCTGTGTGGGAAATAATGTTTTGGCTCAGCCTGACACCACAGCGCCACCTTCAGGGCCCACACAAACTACGCCTTACCTACTGGGTTTTCAGACTGCAGAGGCGTCGCCTGTGATCATGTGACCAAGACTTCCCTGTCAGTCACATGGTAACAGCTGGCTGATACCTGTGTTTCAGTAAACAGGCTCCGCCTCCATGAACATCGAGAGCGACCTTCAGCTGGTTTCATAGTTTTTACTCACGCTCATCAGCAACATTAAATATTTAACTTTGTAATGAAGAGAAAAGCCTGTTTTTATTTTTCTGAAATTATGAAAGTCGGCGAAGGACCAGAGTGAGATACGACTTTAACAAAAGGGCTGCTAAGAGTTTTATTGTTGAGGACAAAGGGAACTAAAAGCACATCAGTCACACGTTCACGTGTAAATACTTGGACTTGTCTACGTGGATGAGACGATGTATTTTTATGCAACTGAAACATTAAAGTCTATATTCAAGTGTTCATTCCCTCGAGACGTTCTCACGGCTGTACGAGAAAAAGAACGACTTTAGTGGAAACTGTTCATGTACACACTATAAATATATATAAATATTATATTGTATATGAAAAATACCAATAAAAGAACGTCTGTACCTTCACATCGGCGAGTTTGTTCTCGTCATTGTTACGAGACTCTGGTGTCAACGTGGCAGCGTCACAGAGGGACGATCGCTCAGAGAACCTCTGCTCTGCTCGAGCGACGCACAAAATGAAGCTTTAAAAACAGATTTACTCATTTTATCAGCTTCGATTTCTTCCAGTTTAGACACACTTTAGTAAATATCAGGCGTCTGAAAATCAAGTTATAAACGTTTAAACTTCAGCCTGTCCCAAACCGTCCTCATCAGGTTACGAAACAAACTCGTATCCTCAGATTTGTGTCTGTTGTCCAAAGTTTGCCTCAAAGCAAAGGAAGAAAAACACGTCAAACAGTTGTGAGTCAAGTTTATTCAACATAATTCAAACTGCTTTTACATCAGACCCTCAGCGATGAGGTCACAAAGCTCGCTGCGGATACCGTCGTGGTTGCCATCCACTACCCTAAGGCGACTGAAGGAGACTTCCTGTCACCTGACCCCATGTGCCGAGTCATTTCAAGCCCCTCTGAGCCTTGAAGCTCCACCCACACCACCTCATCAAAAAGCCAGCTGACAGCCGCTCTCCTCTGAACAGGAAGTTGTAAATGCGCGATGATGTCAGCACGATGAGCAGAGCTCAGCAGGACGCCAGCTCAGAGCAAACCGAAGCTTCAGAGCGGTGGTCGCCTTTGTGGGGGGGTCAGAGTCGACCCTCTCAGTGCTTCACACTGAAACGAGCCAATCATGAAAAAAATCACGGCCGCCTTTTTGGTCGGCTTGTTGTCGTAGTGATGATGCTGGTCAGCACTCATAATGCTGGTGTGGGAGGGGCCACGCACTGTGTAGTGGCGTTCACACATCCAGGAGAGCGCTGAACCTCCTACCATCAAATCATGTTTACTCTGAAGGTGGAGGTTGGCCGCTGGCACCACGTCCTGCAGATTCAGGTGGGCGGTGCAGGTCAAAGTCAGGGGTGGGGTCAAATTTGGAGGCTCAGAGGTCAGAGGTGAATCTGCACATGAGTATCTGCAGGCAAACGTCTTCACGATAACGACGCTCACAAACTGACCTGAAACTAAAACTGACTGAAAATAAAAAAAATATCTGCGTCACTACAACAGAAGAAAAGTCCGACTCGAGCTTCATCAGGAAAAAAATAAAATAAAACAAAGTGAGAAAGTGAGGCGGCTCTGGAGAGGTCAGAGGTCAGCGGGACAGGAGGGGGAGGTCACTGGAGTTCATGATGAGGCTGGAGTCCAGGTTGAGGCTCTCTGAGGAGAGAAGAGGAGTTTATGGACAAACTGACGTGAGTCTGCAGGAGCTCCACCCCTTCACACCCGCGCCACACTGACCTTGATCAAAGTTCAGCTTCTTATTGGACGAGCCATCTCCGAGGCCTTCGATGTCCACCAGGTCACTGTTGACGTCCGAGTCGTTCAGAGCGCTGAGCGTCACGTCTGCAGGCAGAAGGACAGCTCGGATTAACAGAGAGAACCTCGGAGCGTCTGAGGCCTCGGGGGTTAAAGGTCAGCACACAGTGGCAGGAAGTCCAGAGGTGCACGGTTCTTTATCTGCTCCTGGGCCTCAGCTCAACCTGTCTAAAACCAGCTGCTTTAGCTCCTCCCCCTCTTTCTAACCATCATCGTCCCCTCTCTGTGACATCACACAGATCA